TAGAAACGTACGTAGAAAAGGTTCTCTGTTATTTCCCACAGTATTTACACGTGCATTTATAAAAGAAGTAATTGTTAAATTGTATACTAAAAACACCATTCTTTTTTTTTTTTTTGTAAATTAATTGGTCGTGAGAAAACAAATGGATGGCAGCGTTCTAAGGAAAAACAATAATACATATACTCTCCTATTCTAGGGAGGGAGAAAAAAAAATTAAGATACATAAGGGACTGACTTGAAAGAAAACAAAGCCCTCTAGATAAAAAAAAAAAAAAATTTCAAATATTTTCTTAGTGTCTAATTTACCAAAAGCAAGATTGGGACTCTAGTGGACTTCAGCCTAATACATAAAATTAACAACTGTAAAAGTGATTATAAATATATGAAATAAAAACAAGAGGTCATGCCTTTTTCTCCAAAAGTAAATAAGTTCAAGTTGTTCTTTAACTAATTATATATAATTGTTATCCTACTATGATCACACTTTGGATGACTCAGACAAACGTTTGATTCTTGAATAGCTCCTAACTTGCCCTTTGAATTTTCCGAGGTTATAATCAAAACCCTTGTGACATTTTGGTCAGAAAATGTGGGTAGAATCTTCAAAAATAGAATTCAATGGGTAGGTTGAGGAATAAATAGAATTAAATATACACCATGCACCACTTTATTCTAAAGGGCCTAATTGACAATCAATTAAGGAGGGCTAATAGCGGCTGTTAGAAGAATCAAATTCCTCCTTTTTTTTTTTTTTTTTAAAGAGGTATAAGTGGATAACGTTCAAATTCAACTTTGACTGCATGGAAGAAAAACGTTTTCTTGGCACTTAATTTGAAAAAAAAAAAAAAATGAAACACAAGTTTTAGTTGGTCAAACATAACATGTTCAAAGCCACAGATAAGTCTCGATCACTAGGATGATGGCTAAGGGCATGGCAAGATTTGGACATTAATTCTTTCGTGACAAATTTGGCATTCTACTTATTGGCTATTGAACTTTTTTTTGGTCCAAATTAGTCATTCGATCAATTGATTGAACATATATATTTGGACAAAAAAAATGTACATTTTTTATTAGTTGAATGATAAAAAAAAATTATGTTTTTGTTAGTTGAGTGAAAAAAAATGCAGTGTTCTATTAGTTGAGTGACCATTTGGCTAAATGAAGAGTTCGGTGACTACGACGGGAAATTATCAATAATTTAGTGACTATTTTTTTCATTTAATCCTTCTACTTTTCTTCAAAATTTTGTTTTTTCTTCAAGTTATTGAGAAAATCAATTGAGAAATATTTTATTTGACAAAATATTAATACACATGAACTTAATTATTTCAAAACATTTCACATCTCATTAAAAAGTTTTGAGGTTCACAATGAAATGTAAGAAATATTTTAATCTTGGGTGAAAAGTATGATAACCAAATAAGCGTGGATTTGACAAAAAAAAAAAAAAAAAGCTGGTGACTTTGAAATTCTTACACTAATCAAGGGATTCGATGGAAAAGCACTTAGCATCTGACTAGGCCTGTCGATTCAGTAGATAAGGCATCATCTTACGTGAGAATTTATCAGTAGATTAAAGAAAACAAAAGCCACTTGCTTAATTAAATGAAACTCTTTTGTTCACATTTCAAATAACAAAAAGTCACTTCCTTTGAATGAGCTCTTGTAAGGTACAAGAGACCTCACCTTTTTCACCTGCCAACCTCTTATTCCTTTCTGACCTTTGGTTGGCGACTGTTAATTGTGATCAGACAAAATATATTAGTTGGCTTCATACCTATCAAAGGCAAGAAACAGCATTTTCTTTCGATCACAACGTTGTAACACATCTGGCCAACATATAGTCATCTTTCCTTTGAAGCTCTTAAACGAACTTCTAATGTGGTCATTAATTAGACCTGTCTTTTGCTAAGGGACTGTTCTCCGTTAATTGTTTTAACTGATTATAGATTCTGATTTTGGATAATCAATTTTTGTGATGTTTTCGGTTGCTTTTGTATTTTGATTATAGATTTTTTTAATGACAAAAAAAAAAATCTAATATCTATAAAATCACCTAAAGAGCAGCTTTTGCTGATTCTGATTATTATCTATAATCAGATTTTGTAAAATTTAAAGTACTCCCTCCGTCCCACTTTGATAGTTCTGTTTCTTTTTCACACAATTTAAGAAAAAGTAGTTAACTTTGTTGGAAAAGTAAATTTAGATTGCTATTTTTGTAAAATACCCTCACATTAAATAGAGTACAACTTTATGGGAACTTGAATTGATAGTAAAAAAAGAATCAACTCTCATTAAATGGGGTAATTTATAGTAACAACAACTTACATTGAATAAGGGTATTTTAGGAAAATTTACATTCTTCAATTGGAAAGTAGACTACAATTTGGGATAGACGAAAAAGAAAAACAGGACAATTAAAGTGGGACGAGAGGAGTAACTGAGAGCAAGGCCTAAATATTTGAATTTGAGGTACATAAATACGTTCACATGTCAATTGCAGTTCTGAATTAGGACACAGAAAAAACTTGCCCACTTGATTCCTGACGCAAGTCTTGTGCATCAAGTGCCCAAATTGGGCTAGTAGTCCACTTGAACAAAATGAACACTTTCACATGTCAGTTGCAATTCTGACTTAGGACACGGAAAAACTTGCCCACTTGATTCTTGAAGTAAATCTTGTGCATCGATTTACCATTTTCAAGTGTTACTTGGATTTAGTCCCCAAATGAACACTTTCACATGCCAGTTGCAATTCTGAATCAGGACACGGAAAAACTTGCCCACTTGATTCTTGAAGTGAATCTCGTGCATTGATTTAGCATTTTCAAGTTGTTACTTGGATTTAGTCCCCAAATTGGACTAGATACTTTCGCATGTCAGATGCAAATCCGCATTAGGACCCAGAAAAACTTGCCCATTGATTCTTGAAGTAAATCTTGTGCATTGATTTAGTCCCCAAATTGGACTTGTAGTTGACCAGAACAAAAATCGTCAGGCCAAGAAAGGCCCCTTTTACAAAAGGGTTCTCATGAAAGGGTATAACATTGATATGCATGCCATTTCAGACTTTTTATCTCCTCAACTTTTTCTCGGCCAATGTCACAAATGAGAGCTTTATTCTTATTCTGATCACTTTAGCAACCAATTCATTTGTCTCAAATTGGTAAAGTTGGACCCATTTTGTTCTTCAACAATGTTCTATGGGCCTGAGTTTAGATGTGTGGCTTTTGATATCCAAGATAACGTCTAAGCTGTCTCAGTTGGCCACTTCCCAAATATATTATAATTTTAACGTACCTAAGTCACAATCCAAACTTTACCAAAAGTTATAAATTCAAGGCCAATATATGTTATTCCTATGCCCTTGTCTTTTCTTGTAAATAAATACACTAATGTAGACTCTGCAGTGCCCATGAGTCAAAAAACTAGAGCGGTAGGAAAGAGATGGTACTAGACTACTTTTGAAAATTGACCATATATTCTTTAGCATTTAGAAATTCAATGAGATAACTTTGACAAGATTCAAATCACCGAGAAGTGAATTTTTTTTTTTTTGGATGGGGGGGGGAGGGGAGGAGTTAAATGTGGGATTAGTAGGTTGACTTAGGGTGCGTTTGATAAAACAGAAATCTGAAATTTGAATCCATTAAGTTGTTGAATTATTAAGTATTAAATCTAATACATTTGAGTGTACATCAGACTCAGTAATAAGTGAATAACTTATTACTTAATTTTGGAGCAAATTCTGTTTAGAATATTCAGTGCCACTTAATTAATTCAGATGCTCAATTTTTTGTATCGAACGCATCTGAACATATTAAGATCTGAATACATTAAGTCTAAATGCTGAATTGAGTTATCAAACAGGGTCTTAGAGTGGAAAAATATGGATAAGCAGATTATTAAGCATATGCAAGTAATTCACTCCTCATCTCTTTGCATGATTCGCGGAAATTTGTTAATATTTTCTTCAATAAACCGATTTCATTTAGATTCTTTGTCAAGTAAAATCCCTGCTGGGGAAACAATATGGTAAATCTATTTTGAAAATGCATGAAAACTTTTCAGCCGGCTCTTCAACATATGTCGAATTGGAAATTATTATGAATTTACCGAATTGGGCCAGGCTTCGTAACGCAACCCAAAACTACAGAGGAGGCCGCAGTTTGTAACTTCTTTACAATTCGTGAACTAGTTGGGTTTCAGCCTGTCAGAATTCAATTGAATAGAATAATGTTTCTAGAAGCAATTTGGGTTTTAGATGATTATGTCTTAGTTATAATAAGAAAAATGGCCCAATTTGGAACTCCTAGGCATTTTTTGACCAAGCGGCACAAACAACAAAGATAACTCCAATTCAGCTGCAATACATTTAAATTGAGAACATTAATAAATGGTATATACAATGTTCAATTTGATAATAAATCATAAATGTTGTACATGGAAAAGAAGTTTTTTTTTTTAAAAAATTATTTTCATTTTTCAGCTAGGGATGGACGAAATATAAAAAGTGGGGAAGAGAAAAGCAGATTTAAATCTGAAAACCCTAATTATTGAAGTCTCAATCTTAGTCATTAGATCAATACATTCTCAATGGTGCGTGAATATTATGTTCCACAATAAACTAGACATGGGGGGAGGGGGATGGGAACAATATGTTTATGGGGTGAAGGGTATGTAGACCAAGGAATAAGTTAAATCTTCTGTGCATTCTTTAAGTCCCCATTTGGACAAATTTTTATCAATCTTGAGAGTTCAAACTTTAAAGACTGTAATTTATTTGTTTGCTAGGAGACCTATTTAAAACATTGAAAATTCTCTAGAAACCAGTTTGACAAGCATTGCTCCAATTGACACCGCGACTAGGCATCTAAATTGTTATTTCTGCTGTGCTTTTAAATGTTGCAGTTCACGGAAATGGAGAAAAGACTTGTTTGTTGAAGGACCGTGCCAGCAATTCGATTGGCCATCCATCTAGTTCCCAGATATCATGATTTCTGATTAAGAAGGGAAAATATGTTACTGATTAAGAAGGGGAAATAATGTGATTGAAACTTGAAAGCGCACCCCCACCCCTCTTCCTTTTTCTGCCTACCAAAGAAGATGCAATGAAGAAATGTCAGTTGAAGTTCAATCATGATCATGCACAAGAGGCATTATCTACTTGTTCGACAAATATGCAATAGCAGCCTGAAGCATGACTCCCAATCTGAACTTGTAGTCAGAAAAGTTCCTGCTCCTTGTGAGTTAAAATCACGCAATCTGAAGTCGGATAAGCAATGCAAGTCAGCACATATCCTGCTTTAATTTGACTGTCATCAAGATATGATCCATCAGATTGGTCAACAGATCCTGAAACGATCTTGCCTGTGCAAGAGGAGCACGCACCAGCCCTGCAAGAAAATGGTATATCTATTTCCTTATTCTCTGCTACATCCAAGATGTACGCGTTGTCTGGCACATCAAGCACACATTCCTCACCATTAGGTTGAATCAGTTTTACTTTATATACTGCCATGGCAGATGCCCGGAAACCAGAGGCAGACATAGCCTTCAGACCACGGACTTTAGAGATGCTGCTTACGGATCCTAAGGATGAGGGACTCTTGAGAAAGGGACTCTTAATTTGGTTAAGGGGTGGGTTACTGGACACACAGCTCGCAGGAAGTTTAAGGTTTGAGCTTGACATCTTTAACCTGTGCAAGAAATCTTCAGCTGGTTAGATGAATGAGAATCAGGAGAAAATCTTTAATGTAGTATTAGGTGCAGTACCCTTGGATTCTTGGCAACCATCCGTTTTTCAATACAGACATTAAATGTAGCTAGTCTAACTCATAACTTTCCAAATCTGCAAGCTTATAGTGATTGGTAAATTTATAGCGTTAAGCTGCAGTTCACAAATACTCTGAAGCCAAAGCAGAAAGCAGACAACTTTAGCAAAGATACTTCAGAAATCAGTATTTGGAAATGGTAGTGGCTGAATGCAGATATTATAATCCACCAAAGAATGGCCATTTGGTGATCAATAGAAGATAAACGTCTCGCTGCTCCAACTAGGATGGAGTTTCTTGGCAGCATTAGGTACAGTATTGAGAGCAGTTCTGCGGTACTAGAGCAGCCATTGCATTCACTGCTACCAAAAATTGCAAAGTTCTTCAACAATTGATAACGCAATGAGGTACAAGGCTTGGTTAGCAAGAAGTTTCACAAGGGTACCAAAGAGGAAGAAAACAGTGAGATTATCAGGCATACTTTTACTGCTTAGAATTAAAAGAGTGTTTTCTCAAGCTGGCAAAAACCAGTCAGCAGAGTGAACTATTGTTTTGCAGGCTGCGTTCTTGGTCTTCAGTATGAATTATTCCATCGAATCGTGGGTTCCTACCAGCACTAAATTTCAACAGCTATATGGAGTAGTACTGCTCAAGAGAATTGACTGCATCTACAAACATAATCATAAATTTCGCGTATCTTGATTTTGAAAAACATGAAAATGCACAAGATTGACTCAATACTCAAGTAAAAGAGCAAAGAAGTGCAGAGAAGCAATAGCAATTGCACATTAGAGACATTGAATCTTACAGGGTTGTTATTGTTTTGGAGCAGATTGCAGCTCTAATGTGGCTCGGATGAGGAGGGGTCTTCTGTGGCTTAGCAAGAACAGATAAGAGTCCAGCTGAGAGCACTTACTACCAATGCTTTAGCAGTGACCCAACCCAAGTTCGCCGTAAGCACATGTCCTTATTCACCATATCCATCCACATTCAAAATGGATGCAAACTTGTAAGCACGTCCTTATGCACTCCTATTTTTGTTAGCTACACTCTAACTATCATTCTAATTATATAATTTTTATTTATTAGACTATATGATAAAACAGATGATAAAAATATAACTAACAAATAACATTTCTCGTGAAGTTTTAAATGCTAGTCCTTTTTTTTTTTTTTTTTGCGTTGGGGGGTTTTTAAGAGGAGGGGGAAGGAGGGAGGGGAAGGGGGTGTGGTAATGGAAGAGCAAACTATGACCAGTATGACTCTTCGCTACAAACTAAGTCAAACTCAAATTCTTTGGGCTACTTTAAATTCGACTGCTCCCTCCATTCACAATAAAAGCCTCGAGGTTGATTTCATAGGAATACGAAATAACTTGACCAACCATTTTTTCAAAAGATCAGAGCAATCAAACAAATGGGGCAATATTATCCAAAAAAAAATCCATGCTCCTTGCATACGAACAGATTCTTGGGTTTTCACGCAGGCAAGCAGTACCAAGAGTAGAAGACCGCACTTAATTGCCTAAAGTCCTCTGAATCAGGTTTTGTATTTTGGCTTCTGACTAAGCAAGCCAGTTCTTTCCTAGGAGGCTAAGACGCCAAAAACAAGTAGTCTGAAAAATTCAATCCTAGCTCTTGACAACCACAATGTACTTGCATTACCGACTCAAACATATGTGACTCACTTGGCAATGGCATAGCAACACAGAAATACTTGAGGCAGTTCACAAGATTCAACCCCAAAATACTGATGATTAATTGCGGGCAGTGGCATAATACATATGATATATTCCCTTGGAGTATCAATTCTCCAGAATTACTTGCCCAATGGCATACATAGAAATCAACAGTTGGAGGGGATAAAGAAAGATTTGAGAAACAAATGCAACAAGTGTCGAAATCCCACTTGAACCTTACATGATTCTTCAGGACAAAACCCAAACATTCATCCATCTGCAATCTACCTAGCAAGCTAATGGGTATGACCTGGACTCTCAGTAAAGTTCGCCTCCTTGTGAGTGTGGATTACACAATCAGCAGTGGGGTAGGACACACAAGTCAGCGCATAAAGATTCGATGTGGTCGTCGCTAAGGAAGGATTGATCAGACTGGTCGACAGAACCCGAAACAATCTTCCAGCACAAGTAGAGCATGCGCCAGCCCTGCAAGAATATGGCAAGTCAATTCCAACAGCCTCAGCAGCATCAAGGATGTAAGTGTCATGAGCAGCTTCAAAAGTGTGCTCTCCTTCTGGAGTAACTAGTTTGATCTTGTATGTTGCCATGGCAGAGGCCCTGAAATTAGGTTTAGCTCTCAAACCGAAGGTTTTGGAGATGCTCTTAACAGATGTTTAGGATGGTGGGCTTTTGATCAAGGCTCTTGAATTCTGGTTCTGGGGTGCAACTCTCACCATGCAGTTGATTGGAAGTCTGGTGGTGGCCATTTTTTACCTGAAAATATACAACTTAGAATACAGTCCAAAGCCATTGCTCCAAGGCTATATACAACATATGAGACATAGAATTGACACAAACAAAAAGGAAGCGCAGGGTGGGAGGTGGGGTTAGGGGCGCTTTAGTACAGCTAAAGAGAATTTCTAACCACCTCTCAGCTTTAAAATTATCATGCTTTCTCACCGTACAGGAAAAAAGTAAATCAGTTTCAATCAACACAGTAATATACAACAGCAATGCAAAAACCTTGAAGTGAAGGATTCAAACCATATTCAGCAACTATCCCAGTTGTATGCGTACACGAAAGAGAGGGAGGACACATTCCAAAAGAACAACAGAGTAAGGAATATTGTGTATGCCTTATCTCAGACAAACAGAAATGGAAATGATGTTCCATCTTCATAACATCAAGGCGGTAGCTATCTGGAGCACAATGAAAAGAAACAGGGGAGTAGCTCTCTGCTCTTCACTCGAGGCTCCATGTCAAGTTCAGAAAGACATATATTGTGTCTTTACCATGTGAAAGACACCATGTGTATCATTTCGCCAGTTAAAGCTTTACTTAACTGGTGCTAGGGACTCAGAAACACAGACAGCAAGAAGATGCGGGACATTTGCTTCCTATCAAAAGATTAAGCCAGATATTCACGTTGTCTGCCAAACTATGTCAACCCAAGAAAAAGAACGATCCAGGTATGGAGGGGATGGAGACAGAAAAGGGAAAATTTTGCCAACACATTGAAACAGAGAAATAAGTTTTGAAATTTTGGCTACCACCTTTATCTGCAATCTAGGGCACAAGTACCATCATGCTTGTAGTAGTATTAAAACCATTCGCGGGAGAAAAGATATGCAGTAATATTGCAAACTAGCTTACGCAGGCAAATGACAAAGGAAACCATAACAATAATTATCAGCAAGAACCTGTCCAATGGTCTACTCATTACTACAATTTATGTTCGCTAACAAGTAATTCAGCATCCAAGGTCTATTGTCGTACATAGCCATAAGCCAGATAGACTAGTGATGGAAGGAAGGGCCTGGGAGGAGGGCTGAAATTTCACTCAATACAACGCAAAGGGGCAAGGAAAAAGGGAAAAAGCTAGTAACTTTATCAGCACACACGGACAAAAGGGGGGTCTTGAATATGAAAACATTCATGATAATCAGCAAATATCTATTGAAACACACCAGTGAATTGCCTTATATTCTAGTGCTTAAACTACATGGAAAAGTCCCATAATTCTGTCAGGATACTTAACAAAGATATACCAAAGCTTCTAGGCACAAGCACACACACAAAACCTTGGCTAATACAGTACCAAGTGAGACCATCAACCTTAAAAATCCATAAAACTGGAATTCAAGAAAGCAGCTCTAATTCGGTCAAAATAAATAAAACAAGGGCTCTTATCTTTCCTCAACTAGATCCTAAAATACTCAATAGTCAAATTTAATTAACCAAAAGCCGTGATTGATTTAGGAGTAATCAGGATCTAACAAAATTCAGCTAATCTAACCACATCTCCATCTAACCACAAACAAACAAATAGTCCACAAACTCAAAAAAAAACAGAAATAAAGCAAGCCCGCAAGCACACCCTAAAGGAAAAAAGAAAAGAAAAAAAGCCCGGAAATGAAATCTTACAAAAAAAAAAAAAAAAGTAAAGAAAAGAACTGCGCTGATCTTCCTATCCCAAACAAGAAAAAAAGTTTCCCTTTTCCTTACCCTTTTATAAGGCAGCAAGGGAGGAGGACCCGGAAAACAAGAGAGAGATAGATTCAGGCGGAGCGGAGAGGTGGCGACCAATACTGAACAGTAGTAGCAACAGATGGGGGCGGAAGGGAGTGTGGAAAATGTGAATTATTTATAGAGGGAGAGTTGAATGACGAGTACGGTGAAGGACAAAAAACTGAAGAGTGGAACGAGGCTAATGGTGTTTGAGATACTACGTGAGCATGATTTGAGTTCGACTTTAATATTAATGAATTATAAATATTATTTGAATTTAATTTATTAATTTATATAAATATTTGAGTTCGATTATTAAATGAATTTGAGATGGAGTTTGAGTTTGAATTTGATTTGAAAAGGATTTAGTTATACTTTTAATAAATAATACATTATTTAGAAAAAGGTTAATTGTATTTATTAATTTTTAAAAATAAATAATGCTAATTTATGTATAATAACTTTTTTAGTAAAATATAATATATATTTAATAATATTAAATATATTTATATTTATATTTATATATGTGTTTATGAACTATTCGATTGGATTATTAAACAGAGCCAATATTATATTCGAATTCGATTTGCTTATTAAATGATTAGAGTGTGTTTGGATTGCCTCTTTTTTTAAAAAAATTTGCTACGTTTTAGTAGATAATATTTTTTAATTATCATTTTATCTCACGTACATCAAATCGTTATAGTAATTTTTTCATAAAAAATTCAGAAAAATACAGTCCAAACAAACCTAAATTTTTAACGAGTCAAGCACAAACACCTTTGCAAATAAGTTGATTGGTTGGGAGCTCTAACCAGAACTGAAAGGGGCCATATATAAATGGGAGATGCCTTTTGGGATTCGCAGGGAGGCGACGTGCATCTGCGCTTTGGCTTTTTGCTGACAATTATATGCAATCCAGCAAAGAGCATACGCAGCCACCAACATTGAATGAAACTACTGTTTATGATGCACGGGGTGCAACCCCAACCTAGCATTCCAGCCGCCTCTCGCTTTCGCAGTCGTCCGTAATTTTTCTTTTGAAACACACCAGACCAGAGTATTTAGTCCTATATAACAATCACACTTTTGTATTTCTTGACTCACAAATTTCGGTTTCATTTTAATTGTATTTTTCAGAAGCTGTTCTTGAGAAAATTACTAATAAATATGCTACTATTGCAAATTTTATTGATGGAATAATTATATAATAAAACTTTAACTGAAAATTATGTTCAAGGAATATTCTAAAATAAGGTATGCGAACTTGAGCACTTTATTAAAAAAAAATAGATCTCGTGCTTACTTTCCCCTTTCACTTTTTCTTTTAAAGGTTTGGAGTTAAAAGTTGGACTGTGCTTCTTCTTTTTTTTTTTTTTGAGAAATTTGGAGTGTAGTTACTTTTTCATTTGACTTTCTCTCAAAACAATATAAATGTTCCTCTGCCATTATGCTTCTAGTTTTTTTTTTTTTTTTCTTCAACAACCCCACTTTTGTTTTTCTTGGCTCAAAATATTCCTGTTTCATTTCAATTGCATTTTTTGGAAGCAAATTTTAAGAAAATAGTACTGAAATTCTCATGTTTATACTCCCTCCCTCCGTGCTATCTAATCCATTTCTTCTCCTACTAGAATTCTCTCAAGTTGCTGTATGTATAAATAACACATGTAGGAGGACACGGAGCGTTTGCGTCTCCTTTTTATTTTCCTTTTTTCAAGATATGGAGTCTGGATTTGGGAGACAATCACCTTTGTCTTTTAAGCTCATCTATTTATTTTTCAAAAAAGTTAATTTGGGATTTGAACTAATTTTGTGCCGTGGTTG